GCATTTTGGGTAACAGTTCCTCTTTGCAAATAGGATGTCCACGGTGCTCCAAAGAGCCAGTGTTATGTTAATCTCAAACCATTTCTACCTCCATCATCCCCACCTTCACCTCCAGACTCTGTGGCCTCCACAGTCTTTCCAGCTCCTTGCCTCCAGTTCCTCCACATCCTCTCACCCAGCACTAGCATCCTTCTCTATGGCTCCTACATGCCCTTCAAGGCTTGCCTTTTATTTCCTTCAGGAAGCCTCCCTTCTCCCTAGTTACAACTGGAGGCAAATCCTCCCTTGCGTCTTGGGTAGCACAGCATGGACATACAGGTATTAAAAGCGTTTCCTTCTGGGTTGGAATTGTTAGTGAAATTGCCTCTTTCTCCACATAAATTATATAGTTCATTGAGGTTGTCTCTCTTTATTCCCAGAGTTTATTCTAAAACTGTGCCTGGCATATAATAAACCCATAATCATCAGTATTTGATACAGAGATAAGAACATGAATATGAACCCTTTAAGCGATTCAAAAGCTAGGAAGTCTTCATTTTTTTCAAATCTTGAAATTGTTGAGAATGCTTTTGTGAGATGGGATTTATCATCAAACACTGTGCAACTGGATGTATTAATGCCAAGTCCAGTGTGAATTGCCAGGCCAGAGACGATCTGGGCAAGAAGAGACCAAGGAACACAACAGCACTCCGGGTGGCAACGCTACCTAAAATTGACCACTAGATGGCAGCCTCACCCCAGGAGCGGGCCACGTCCTCTATGGGCCACACCCCAGCCCTAGACCAGCGCCCCATTCAGACCCAGCCTTTTCCGGGACTCAGACCCCACCTAGGGAAGAGGGCAGGTCCTGGAAGATAACGATCACCCTGGGAATCACTCCCACCCCGCCGAAAACATGATGTTCTCCCCTCCAGCCCTTCGGCCTCCTTTCTTGTAAATTCTACAGCCCCTTCATTCTTCCTGTCCCCAGCCTTCCCCTCCCTCGCCCCTGTTATAAAATCTCTCTACCCACCTAGGGTCCTTTTTCTCCAAGCAGGGCCTGCTGACGGCAGTCTCACTAGGCCTGTTCAATTAATAAGATGGGGAAGGGGATCAGAGGGTGGAGGGAGGGTCGGGAAGGAAGCCTGGACAGTTGTCAGGAGGATGAGACAGGCAGTCCAGGAAGGAGAGAGAGTCCAGGAAAAAGAACCTCAGGAGAGGGTGGGGTGGGAGCTGGGACTCCCTCTGAGTATATTTTCCAAAAGTCTTGGTATTTTTTTCTGCATGTGTAAAAGATCATCAGTGGCCATGGTGGTTCTTAGATCACAATGAAAAGCTATCAGACCGTGTAGAAATCACGGCACCTCTTTGTTAGTCTTGTTTACTCCACAGCCAAGGCTCCCAGCTGCCTCTGCCTCCCCACACCCAAACACCCCACCTTCTCGGCCTCCCTCAAGCCCCTAGCAGTTCCACACACACCTGCCACCCTCCTCTTGCTAACACCCAGCACAGGTGCCAGCCCTGGTTACAGCCCCAGTCCCCCTCTGGGCTGGCATCTACAAGAGAGGACAGGGCCTTGCAGAAACTCCTGCCTAGAGCAGCCTCCTCCTCTGAAGAGGAAGCAGAGTTCATCTGAGAGTCCTTTGCTGTAACCATCTGCCTGGATGTGAGAGGCATGGAAGGGAGGATGGAACTGAGCTCTGGATTTTGGTCTTTGGTCTTGGTGACCTGGGCCAATGTCATAGCAGAGAAGATATATAATGCAGCCCTGCCAATGTCATGGGGCCACCGTGAGGACCGAATGGCATGCAGGCAAGAGCCCACTGTACATGGCAAGGGCAAGGTGCCTACTGAATGATCACACGTCCATTTATTCACCATCAAAAACCTGGATAGCTCCTCTATAACAATGCAGTGTGCTAGGACCCAGCTCAGAGGGAAAATGGAAACGCAGACCTCATAGAATGGGGGAAAAAGTCAGATACATGAGAAGGCAAGCAGCCAAATTGAGAATGCAGGGAAAACAGTTAAATCCAGAAGGTAAGGCATATGCTAATTAGCTCCACTGAGCCATCCCACTGTGTATACATATTGGAAAACATCATGTTATCCACAATAAATATATATGATTTTTGTCGACTTAAAACTAAATAAATATTTTTTTTTAATCTAGAATGTGGGAAATTTCCTAATTCAAAAGCAGATGTTGTTCATGAATGGGTGTTATGAGCAAAGGAGGAAGTGACTCCTACAGGTGCAAAGCAGCCTAGGAGACTAAGCCACCAGGAGCAATAGGGGAATGGTGTTTGGATCCTGCTTTGAGGAACCTTGCCTATTACAAGGTGGTTTTTGAGACAGCGAGGGAAATATGAATATGTAATGTGTATTACTGTTGCATTTTATGTATGATTATGATAGAATTGTGGTTATTGTTAGAGATATCCATCTCTACTTGCAAGGATTTACTGAAGAAGAGGTGTCAGGGATTTTCTTTAAAAATCCTCAAAAAATAGCATAAGAGGGAGGTAGATAAATGAACAAGAATGAATATTGATCATTGTTGAAGCTGTATTGTGGATACTTGGAGATTCATCAAGATAACTTCCCCCCTACTTTTGTGTGTGTTTAAAATGTTCCACATAAAAATTTTTATTGACACTTGGGAGACTAGACCGGAGAGGAGATGGGAGAAGACAGGCAATCATCAAACATAATGGAAGTCCAGAGAAGGGAGCCTGCAGAAGCAGTAAAGCCAGACCTGGGTTAGTTGAATGCTGATGGACAGGAAGAAGATTCCAGAAGGAACAAGCCCATGTGCATAAGCACAGAAGCCTCAAATGGCATCCACTGCCCAAAAGTTTTTACTAAGACAACTAATTGATGCTGGCTTACTTAGAACTTTCCTAGGTTAGCCCTGAAATTCCCACACCTTGGGAAATTCATCAGTCCTTGCCAAACTCTGACAGTAGGCTGCCCTCCCTTCCCATTGCTACATGGAACATGATGTGGCCCTGGCCTGGTCAGCTTTGCAGAGCTGAGCAGCAGCTGAGAGCTTCAGGACCAGGAATTAGGACACTCTGAATAAAAGCCCAAGAGGGACCCTCGTCGATATTCATATTTTCTGTCCTTTAAACCCCACACTTCAGCAGTCGGCTCCTCATCCTAGAACTTCTGACATTTTGGGCCCAGGGAACAAGCTGGATTCTCATGTCTCCTCCTCTGTTCTGCTAGCTTCAGACAGCACAGTTTCTATCCTGGAATTTTCTCCTCTGACCCTGAGTCCTGCCTAATTTACTTATATATGTACATATATACTTGCATTATATTTATTAATATTTACTATCTGTATTTTCTCATTTAGTTCTTTTTTTTTTTTTTGGTACCAGGAATTGAACTCGGAACCTTGCGCTTGCAAGGCAGGTGCCAGAACCACTGAGCTAATTCCCCAGCCCTCTCATTTAGTTCTTACAAAACTCCATGGCATAGAATTTATTAAAGCTCAGAGAAGTTATTTTGTACAAGGCTAATATATAGACAGCAATATACTTCACATACTTCTCTTACAGGGTTGTGTGGGGAATAAGTGAATTATTACAGAGATAAAGTGCTTAGAATAGTGCCTGGCATAGAGGAAGTGATCAATAAGAGCTTGATGCTTACTGACAGCCAGTACTGCACCACACTGCCACACCCTGCAGAGGATTCGAGAAAGCGAAGAAGCCTGAATTTTGAGAAAATAATGATCTGATTATATGCATTGCAAAACAATCCACCCCTCTGAACTCAAGACCTTTGTTTTAATAAGCTGATCTGAGCATATATCAGAGGCATCCACAGCAGAGTGGGTAAGTTCTTCAGGAGCCCTCAAAACAAGTTGTGCTGGGTACTCACGGTTATGTGAGCCTCCCGGTCCCCATTTTCCTGGGCAGAGACAACATCTTTCACAGAGGACAGAGGAACCTGTTCAGCTTGATCCTCCCACAGCAGCCCCCTAAGCTTCCCGCTTCCCTAGCCGTTACTTGCACAGCAGCTTCTGCAGGGCCTTCCCCGTCTGAGAATTTCTTGTTCATTGCACAGGTAAGATCAAGATCCTCAAGACAGGAGAATTGCATCTGCTTGACCTTCAGCCTCCTGAGAGCATTTCATGGAGAGCCTTCTCATGGACCACAGAAGAAACATCCAAAGTACTGTTACCAGTAGTGAGGACCCTTGTACACCTCTCTGCCCTGAGGAACAATGGCACCCCGCATTCCCAAGTTACTGCAGAGAGAGAGAGCGGGCCAGTCTGGGTGTCAGAATTCTAGACAATGTTGTTGACCTCAGAATGCTCACCAGTACAAGGAGAAGGCTCCCCAAGCACAGTCTGACAAAGGCCTACAGAGTGGAAACATTTCTCCCCACTTGCAGTGATTTTCATCCTTCCCATCACGGTCACAGCAGACATTGCATTTAAAGCAATAGGAACACAACTGGGAAAGACAGAAAATAAGAGTGGACATGGTGCTTGGCCCCAGCTCAGAGATGTCTGGACCCGGGGTGAGGGTGCTTTCACTCTGGGATCCTGGATTTTTGTACATAGGGTGCCCACCACAAGCACTGGGACGTCCCCAGAGCTGTTCCTGCCATCTTGGAACTGAGGCTGTTCCCCAAGTTGGCTTGTGCCCTCTCCAGCATCCCAGCAAATGGAGTTCCCAGGTCCCATAATAGAATCCTGCACTGACCACAGCTGGCAGAGCCTCTGTGTCAGTCACAAGGTGTAATCCACCATTGCCACCACACATCTATCTCCTCTAACCCCAAACACCAGGTCTTCTGATTCCTGAGGCTGTGTCCAGCAGAGCCACCCTGCCCAGGCTCCTCTACCAAAACTCAAAAGAGACTGCAGAGAAGCTTCATGAATTTTTCACAAGACTCATCTAATAGTGGCTGAGCAGAGCTGAGAAAGCCACAGTCAAGTGCCTGTGCCAGCAGCTTGCAAAGAGTTAACCCATTAGGCCACATCCTGGTGAGCTCATCCCGGCTGGAGCCTGCTTGCTTGGTTGCTGGGATTTGCAGCACACCGACTTCTGGATGTGGCTGGTTGGCTTTCTCCGGCTGGGATGAAGGACTTGAGCAGAAACTCATCGTTGCCTTCTTCCCTGGATGAACACCGAACAAGTCCCAGGATCCCTGCCATCCTCTGGGATACTAAAGACAGTAAGTAAAGAGGGGAATATTCCCCTCTGTCCTTTTTGCCAGCTCCCTGGAGGAAAGAGCTGGTTTTTATTTTGCTTTGGAGTGTGTTGAGTCTTTGAACTGGAGTTGGAAGGCAAATGTGAATGACTCAGGGTGGGGGCAGAGTAAGGCCAGCTGCCAGCAAGCTGGCAGAGTGGAGGGGACTGCTCCCTTGCCTGCTAAGCATGCTGGAGGGGACAGTGGTGGACAAGGGAAGGTGCATGGAATGTCCCTTGCTTTGCACTGAAATGAAGGAAATATGCATACTGAGGGCTGATTCACCCGGTGTACATAACCAGGCCTTCCACCCTTGTGAGCCAGTGGAGGTCAGGGTGGGCAGGGACCCTCTGCCCCAAACTATGAGGAGGCAGGAACAAAAAGGCTGGATAGTGACCTGCAAGGCCGCCTGCAGACCTTGGGTGACATGAGCTGATTTCAGACTCTGCCTGTCTTCCTGGGCATCCCATATCTGCTCTCAGCAGCTGCAGACCAATCCTTCCTTCCTGCAGGTGTGGCCAGTGCCCTGAGCAGGTGCAAGGAAAACAAGGTGGAGACAGTAGCTGGGGCAGTCTTCATCTCCGAAAAAGAAAGCAGGACAGGCACATGGACAAAGACATACTCAGTCAGGCCCGCATGGACTGTAGGGACCCTGTCTTTAGGTAATGCTAGACATGATCATACACAGAGCTGTTTCTCCAGAGCTGATTTTCCCACCCTGTCACTCAGCAGGGCCCAGGTTCTGGCTGTGTGTCCTGAAGAGGGAGGTGAGTGGTACCCTCCAGACTGACTATGACCTTAGGAACAGTTCCCTTCCTAGAGGTCCTGTGAGCTGGAGACAGATGGGAGGAGCTGGCTGTGTCCACAGAGCAACAGATTCCAAAACTCTCTAGCCTCTCCCAGCCGAGGCACGAGCCCTACTCACCTTATCGGAGGAGTGGACCATCACCAACTCACATCCTGGTAAGGGGAGGGGAGGGGAGGCCGGCACAGCGAAAGAAGGCAAAGACCCTCGGGATGGTCACTGATGAGCTGGAGCTGAATGGGGCAAGTGAGGACCCCATGGGAGAAGAGAAATCTCTGCTTCTCACCTACGCGGGCGGCTCCATCTCGGGAGTAAGTGGTGCCCCTCCACCACCTCCATCCCGCGCCCTGCTCTCCCCTCTCCTCCCACCACTCTGCTGGCTGGCCCTGTTTCGCCACTGTGAGGTCATATGTGCCCTGTGCTCTGCTGTAGGTCCTTGCAATTCCCAGAATAGCCCCACTCCTATCAGAACTCTCTTGGTGGAGTGGGGCCAGGGAGGAGAAATAGAAAGAGCCAGATAACTCCAAGCCCAAGTGCATCCACCCAGCCTGGCCCTTTATAATATTATGGTTGTTAGTCGGATCACAAGATGCTCAATTCAATTTGAATTTCTAATAAACAAAGAGTGCGGCTTTTGGTATACGTATGTCCCATGTGGTACTGGAACATTCTTATACTAAAAAAAGCTTCTGCTGTTTATTTGAAACTCAAATTCAACCAGACACCTTGTAATTATATTTGCTAAATCTGGTAGCTCTGCCTAATACTGACCAGGTTTCAGCACATTCAAAGAAGGACGGCCTCGAGGAAGGGCTGAGGAGTTAGTTCTGAAGCAAAGATGAGCAGCTAGAGAGGTGGTAGAATGCTAGTGAGGGAAAAGAGAAGGAAAACACAAAAAGCCAGGGGTTCATCCTTGAGAAAACATGGGCCAGTATCTAAAAGACTGGGATTTGGGGTCAAGCAGCTCTGAGCTTCAGTTTCCTTATCTGTGAAATGGGGACTATACAGATAGTACTCCCCTCATTGCATCATGAGGACTCAAAAAGATGCTCCATGCAAAGAAGCAGCACATACCAGGGCATGTTATGCTTGATTGGCAGGATGATGATGGTGGTGGTTTTGTGGCCACTCTGTCACAAGGCTCTCACTGCCCAAGTGGCCCCAACTCAAGGGCTCCTCAATCCTCCCCACATCCACAGTCCCAGGCCTGCCATCCCTTCACCCAAAGCAGCTGCCATTGAAGTTCTATTTACTGGCTACATCCAGTAAGAATATCCTCTTTCAGCAATTTGAAAAGAAAATCCAAAGAAGAGGAGCAGAATAGACTTGAATCTGGACTCTGGAGCCAGACAAACTTAAAACCCAAATTCCAATCTTGTCTCTCTACTTACCTGTGCATAACTTTGGGAAAATCACTTAAAACTTTCTGACCCTCAGTTTCCTCAGCTGAAAAAATGAGGCAGCAGTTGCACCTTCCTCAGGGACTGTCAGGAAGATTCAGTGAGGCCATGCAGACAAAGCACTTAGCATAGTCCCCAGCACGCAGGGAAAGGTGGATCAGTAGTAGTTACTATTGTGTGACATTGCTTCTGCTTTGGAGGGGCAGCAGCTCAGGGTCCTTGGAGACTGTAAGAGCTTTGGTCCACAGAAGGTAATCAGTCTTCATGAGCAGTGACTCAGAGGCCAAGAAAGAGCAGAGGTCAAAGGTGTGGCCCACCTTGCCCAACACAGCTGCTTCTTGAGCCCGTCCCCCCACCCACACACCACCAGAGCTGTCCTCACTACCTTACTTTAAGGTCAGAGGGGATTGTTTCAACAATCAGGTGGGAAGATGCAGAATGGTGATCTGGCACTGCAACACTAGCCAGGTTCTAACCCTCTGTAGCCCCAACTGGACACTGGGAAGAAAGCAAATTCTCAGAGTAAACTGCTTTGCAAGCCACCTGCAAAGCCCTCTTTCCTCTATTCAACATACTTCCTGTATTTAATCAGGCATATAACAACTGTTCACTGAGTCCTGAGCCTCAAGATAAGTGTTGAGTGACTGCTGGAGGTACAGCAAGTGAGGGAAACCCAGCCCCAAACCCAGCCTTAAAAGACTCTGGAAGAGAAAAGAGGGCTCCCAGAACCCTAAATACAGACACATATCCAGTCATCTGCAGGGACCACTGATTTCACATACAACCACTGTCCCATTGAATCATCCCTTTCAGACACTTGAGAATCTACTGAAGGGAAAAGTATCATCCCTCATTATCATTATTGTTCACCAGCTGGCAGATCCTCAGCACCAAACCTTATGTTGGGGTATAAATATATAAATATGTAAGAAAATGTCCCAAATTTTCTTCTCCCCTCTCATTTAGACATGTCTTCATCTTCCATGCAGTCCCACATTCATGTTGGGGTGGAGTTGGAACTCACTGGAAGGCACATTTCCATCCACTCAGGAAATCCCCAAGTCTCCCAGTTTGTTCCTCCCCACCTCTACCTCCAGTTCTGAGCTTTATCACCTCAGCTAGTTCTTAGCTGGCTCTACAACACCACATAAACAGTAATATGCAATATATTTAGTCTTTTATGTCGATTTTTTTTTCCAGCACGTCTGGGAATTTCATCCATACTGTTGTTTATATCAAAAATCAGTTCTTTTTTATTGCTCAAATTCTGTTGTGTAAATATACACCCCTTTTTCCTTTCTTCTACTGGTGGACATTTATATCCAGTTTTTTAGCTAGTATTAATAAAGCTTCTATGAATATTTTAAATTTCTTTTTATTAGTATATGTTGGGATACATAATTAATACATTCATAGTGGGGAGTTGGCACAAATACATATCACACCTTGATCCTTTTTACTTCCCCTTCTCTCCTTCTCATTTCCCCTCAGCCCCAGCTCGCAGTTCCAATCTCCATAGACTCTATCTCCCTGTTTTCTATTATTAATCTTTTATTTTTCTCTTTAAATTACTTCTACTTTGGATTTCTAATATAAGAGAAACCATGACATATTTAACCTTCTGTTTCTGATTTATTTCACTTAGCATCATGTCTCAAGGTACATCCATTTTCCAATAAATGACAATTTTATCCTTCATATGAGTAATACTCCATTGTGTATATACATCACATTCTTTATTCATCTGTTGATGGGCATATAAACTGCTTCTAAGATTTAACTATTATGAGTTGTGTTCTATGAATATTCTTAAACAAGTCTTTTTGTGGACATATGTTTTCACTTCTGTTGAACAAATAAATATTGAGGAATAGAATTTCTCCATCAACAGATAGGTATATGTTTAACTTTATAAGAAATTACCAAACTTTCATGCTCACAGAGCTCTGGTTGGTCCACATTCTCACCCATGTGGCATATTGTGAGATCGTATATGTATAGCCATTCTGGTGACTGTGTGGTGATATCTCCTTGTGAGTTTAATTTCCATTGTCCTGTTAAATATCAACATCAACAAGTTTTTCATGGGTTTCTTAGTCATTTGTTATCTGGCAATGAGCTATTTAAACATTTTGCCTGTGCTTTAATTAGACTTCTTGCCTTCTTATTCATCAGCTGTAGTGAAAGATACATATTGTATAAATATTTTCTCCCAAATCCAGAGCTTGCATTTTATTTCCTTCCCAATATCTTTTAATGAGCAGACATTTTAAATTTTGATAAAATCTAATTTCTTGATTTTCCCTCTCCTAAGAAATCTTTGCCTGCCTCCAGGTTACAAAGATCTTCTCCTATTGCTTCTCCAAAAGCTTTATAATTTTAGCTTTCACAATCCAGCTAGGTCTATGATTCATCTCTGATTAATTTTTCTTGATGGTGTGAGGTGGAGTCAAGTTTCCTTTTTTTTCCATATGAATATCGAGTTGTTCCAGCACCATTAGCTGAAATGCCATTCTTTCCCCTATTGAATATCTTTGGTGCATTTGTTGAAAATCAATTGTCCTCTATGTTTTTTCCACCTTCCTCCCTTCTTTTTCCTTGCCTGGTCCCTCTGGCCTGACCACAAATCCACTTAAATCATGAATAAATTCTTCCTCCAATCCAGGATGTGGGGCCCATGTTATAGAGCCAAGGTCATTACTGCAGGATCCTGAGTGTCCCAAACCCCAAACCCTCTCATATTCAGACCAGGTCTAGGAGTTATGAATCCCCTTCACCCA